CGGAAAATTTTACGAAGCCCCCCTCCAGAAATGCCCAATGAAACTACCAAAAATATTGTTCACTATACATTTTTAAAAATATTTGTACGCATTTATGGTTAGTTCTACACGAATTTATGTTTTTTTTTATTTTGAACGGAAAACGGTGAAAGCGTAATCTAAGTAGGATAACTCTTCCAACATTGTATCATTTACAGCAAATCCATGTTACTGCCCGTTGTTTTCTCGTGTCTTTGCCCCGTAATCGAAGAATCGGGGTATTTTTGCCCTGTCTGTCCGTCTTTCTGTTTAGCTGTTTGTCTGTCTGTCCTCCAAAAAACTTTAACTTTCCCATGATTGCTTATAACTCTTGATTGGTTGGAACTGTGACATTCATATTTCACCTGACAGGTATACTCCTTGTGACAAGGCCTTTCTTTAGGTTTCAATATATTTGACCTTTGAATTTGACCCAGATTTGCAAGAATTTTCCCAGCATTAACATGGGTAAAACCTTTTCAACAGCTGGCGGTAAGGCTTTCATACTTTACATACCGTATATATATATCTTTCCATGGATATTATTAGTTATCCAGGTTCAATCAAGGGTGTACGGGAATTTACCCCGGGTTTTATTCCATACACCCTGAGGCCGCAGGCCGACGGGTGTATGGAATAAAACCCGGGTAAATCCCCGTACACCCTTGATTGGACCTGGATAACGAATTTATTTCCTTTGTACCAATAAAAATGCTTTGTAAACATCAGAGTAGGTCTCAATCTATCGATTAGAAAACTACGTACTGAGAATGTATGCACTGTGACGTCACGTTTTATTTACACCCGGCTCAAGTCGGGTGCACGGATATTTACACCCGACTTTGTAACCAATCAAAGCTCGTGTTACAAGCTAGATAGGAAATAAAAATATTTTTAACCTTTTGACCGTGACCTTTGACTGTGACCCACTTTTAAAAACTTTAACATTCAACGTAACTTTTAAACAGTAAGCACTGGGGCCTTCATATTACATAGGTGTGACAAGGCCTTATTCTGAATGCCAAATAAAAATTGACATTGACCTTGGAGTTCGACACTTTAACCCTTTTCCTAACTTTTGAACAGTTTGTGCTAAGGCTCTAATGTATTACACATGTGTATTTCTTGTGACGATGCCTTCTCCTGTGCTCAGTTTTTTTTTTACTTTTGCCTTGACCTAGGAGTATAACTTGCAATTGAGAAACTTTTAAATTAACTTTCACCCAGATCTCACATACGGCATCGTCGCAAACCACGGTCAAAATTCTCTTCCATTATGCAGAGTAAGACTCCGGACCGTGGCTTAAGACGATGCACATGAACATACGGGAGCATCAGTGTTTCACAAATATCTTAATTCTTTCCTAATTTTTAATTTTGATAATGGATTCAAAAGTATATGCCTTGGCCCGTTGGGCAAAAAAAAAAAAAAAAGAGATGGCAGAAGTGCAATATTGCTCAACTAAACATTTTTCATTTTCTAGAAAAAAATTAAAGAGCAAAAATCAGTTCAGTATTGAACAAAAACATAAACAGAGGATGCTTCTAAATTTCCTTTAATTATCATGCTTTAAAATATTTTTTAAAAACTTTTTGAATCTCTTTACATGATATACACGATAAAAAGGCCAAGTACGTGGCATCACGTGTATCCTATCCCCGGGGGACACTTATTTGAACAAGGAAATATACACTTTAAAATATCGAAGATGTTTCAAAATAATATGACTTATCATGGCTTTGATGTTTTTGAAAAGCAGTTTTTATATTAGGTTTCAGTTTTTGTAAGTATATACCTGACATTGTATAGATCTCCTTTGTCAATATAGTTTAACCTTTGACCCCCTTCTCTGACTCTCCTTCCCGGGAGAATGATTTGAACAATTTGAATCTACTATACCTGAGAATGCATCTGTGTTAATATTACTAATCAAGGCTTTGTCTTTCTTGAGAGGAATTTTGATACCCTCCCTTGAAAATATTGGGAGGGTATACGTATATAGTGCTCCTAATGTCGGTCTTTTCCGTCAGTCCGTTCCCGTCCGTCTGTCTGTTAATTACGATTTGGGGTATCCATCTCTTATCTGCAAACTCTTCTTATACCACTGAATGAAATTTAATGAAACTTCCACAGAATCTTTGTTAAATATTGCCATTGTGCACCTCTTATACTACTTTTTGATCGGACACATTTCGGGTTTCCCATAGCAAAAGGTTGACACTGCCATTCTCTTTATAATATTGAAGGGTATCCATCTCTTATCCGCAACTCCTCCTACACCAATGAATAAAATTCACCAATCTAATTATCCTCATATTTCTTTTTAATGTCGCTTAAAAAATAGCATCGAGGATCGGATTTTATTCAGATTGATACTTTCACAGATTCTTTATCACATAACACCATGATTGTGCATCTCCTATTCTATTTTTTCATCTTAACACTCATTTTGGGTCTTCTAGAGCAAAACATGGACTTTGCAATTATATTAATAATATATTATAATCGTTTGGGAGGCGGGGGATCATTTAGTGAGCTCAGTGCTTACAGTACTACTAGTTTCCCCCCCCCCCCCCCCAAATTCGCTCCTTCTAAATTGATTTTTTCATAGGATTGAAATGTTCCACAAACAAAGATAAATTTTGGGTCCCAGTAAATGTTCTAACAAGCCTCTTTCTTTACTCCTCCCAAAAATATTAACAGTAGTGAAGAACTCGGAGCTCCTCGGGTGGCTCGTGCCTCGCACACTAACCTCGGACGTCAAAGGTGTTCTACCATCTTGCTAAGTCAGTCATGTGATCTTATTTGAATTTCTTTCAAATATTATCCAATTGAAATCTGAGTTCCAACACTTTGCTTGCTTTCAAAGCCTACTAACATAAGGTTGTAGTCAAAACCTATATATACAATGAAGAATTGGATAAATTAAGATACCCTTTTGAAGAACTTTGTGCAGAGCGAAATATGAAATGAGTGACAAGGCAATTCCCGGCGGAGAAATGTATCGACCTGAGGCGCATTCCTCCACCTTCATCCGAGGTTTAATTAAATGGTGTATAGCGGAGTCAACCGAGGATCGCCGATTGATAGTGATGGAGAAACTTCAAGAGTACTGTGCAACAATTCATTAGAGAAGTGGTGTAAATCATATGTGGATACTTATCAATAAAAATCCAAGGCTCTTTTGGAAAATTTGAAGTCTCAAAATTTTACCAAAATCAACAGCATTAAAACTTACGTACGACTTTATATACAACCATTCCTCACAATAAATTAAAGTTCAGGCCTTTTGATATCATTGACAGCTGCTTTTTCAATAAAAATGGAACTCGTAAATTTACTAACTTTGACATTGGTCATTTGCAAAATTATTGTGTTGAAAAACATTCGGATTGTACACACAAGTACTCTGAAGTTGACATCAAAAAGATGCGTGAGTTTCTGATTGACAATATCTAATGTATGTCGTTTTTGGAGACCAGGTCTTCCAACAAATCTATTGAAATTCCCATGGGTACCAATTGCGCCCCGTTATTAGCAGACCTATTTTTGTATTCATATGAATCAGAATTTGTGCAAAATTTTATGCGTGAAAAGAAGAAAACACTTGCTGTGGCCATCAACTCGACATTTAGATATATCGACGACGTACTGTCAATTAACAATAGTAATTTCCATTCTTATGTCGATACCATGTATCCTGGTGAAAAACGTGATGATTTTAACTTTTCTGTGGTTAAACTACCTTTCTTATGCAGCAACATAACTTCATCACCTGCATATGGAGTTAATAAATACATGTATATCTCAGTTGATTGGATACGCAATCTTGAGCATTCTCTACGTATGAACAATTTTCAAAACGAGGTAAATTATTGACATACAAGTTGATGAAACAGAGAATATTAGCAGTCTCGTGGTTTTAATTACATGTACCTTGTTAACGATTGCATGAATTATAGTGTATAACTTATATCATTTGGGCGTATCTCGGCTGACTTTGTTCAATTTTAGGCCTTTGTTTTTATATTGAATTTGACATAGAATTTTCCGTCTTCCTGACCAAAACGTAGAGTTCACGACGTTTGTGATCGGTCAACAAGGCTTGCTTACTCGTCTTAGGCACCTGATCCCACCTCTGTGATTTTCAGGGGTCAGTGTTTTATATTCTTTCAATACAGATTTGAACTGTTTATGGATTTTTTTTAAAAGATTTACCACTGTTCGTTTTCTTTTTGTAACCTTTTCATCCTTGAGTGTGTTACCTACTTTCTACAAAAACACATCGGGTTAATCAATTTAACAGATTTGGAGATCGATCAGCCCTAAATAATTATATTTCTGAGACGCTCACAATCAGTAACAAACTTATAAGCTTCGTATACTTAAATCCCTATTAAACATGTATATCATCGATGTTATGAACAATTATCTTCTGCCCAGTACGCAAATAGCAGGTAAAAAAATGTACATGATGAATAGTGTAAAAATATCAATGAAAATGAATTATTCATTGAAAGAACCCGCCGAGGAAAGGTACAGTAGGATGAAACCTGAACTTGAATATAAACCATACAGCTCCGAGGTCTGCATCCAATCATTAATTAAAAAATCTGATTAAGCAAGTCTGTAACCGATGCCTCCTAAGTGGTCGAGGGATCCAATAGCTTAGGCGTAAGAACAATTGCGATATTCAGGAGATTCACAACATGCTTCTATTTGAGGGACTATCTGCGTTTGAATGCATGGGAATTTAGAACAAACATCTAAGAGATTTCCTGAGTGGGTTTTTATTTGAATAAGGGACAAAGTTATGTACAAATAAAAATCTGTTTAACTCTGATCATCATTGGTAAACACAATGGCAGAGACCTGAAGAAAAGCTATTGTGCTCCGAACAGCTGTGGTGCGTGGAAACATCTTCGTATACAATGCGGAGGTGTTATTGAGCACAGAAAGTGACAGATGATGCGTGAGGACCATGAAGACTAACAGAATACCACTGACTAGCATTATCTGTGTATTTTCTGTTTTTACTTTCATTATCCAAATACTGATTCTTCTTCATAGCAATTCCTGTAAGTATTATTTTTAATTGCTCAACTTTTTAACTTAATTTTATTTTATTCTAATAATATAGACGGATTTAGTACGGTAATGACATACATGTATTTCGCTTCCTTGGTGCAAAATAATTTTTCTTTAGATCATGATGTCAGTATGTAGGATTTTATTATGTCAACATGCAACAATTAAAAAAAAATGCAATCAAGAATTTTCAAAAATTATCAACTTTCGCCAACATGTGACTTCAAAGACGATAAATTCAATTAACATACGTTTATTTATGTTGGCATGTGAGATATATATGTTGACATGCAAAATATTTTTGTCATCATGCAATTTATTTCTGTTAAGATGATACTTGTTTTGGCTGACATGCGAGATGAATATGTTGACATGTAACATATTTTTTCAACATGCGAATTTTTGTTGTGATGCAACTTGTTAACATGTATGTTGACATGCAAGCTAAATATGTTGACAGGCAACGACTTTTTAAGAGCATGCAACTTTATTATGTTGAGATGCAATTAACTTGTTAATGTTTAGATACAACTTGTTTATGTTTACATGCAACATATTTTTGTCAACATGCAACATATTTTTAGCTCTACTGGTCAGAGACAGAAGAGCTTATGCGATAGTAAGATGTCCGTCTTCCGTCCGTCTAGCTGTGTGTCTAGCTGTTGTCTTTCTATCTGTAAACAATTTTTCAAAATGCTACAAAAAAAGGAAAATTCTGTGAAATACTTTCAAAGTGCTACTCTTCTTTCAGTTTTGGTCTAATTTCAATTTAACTTGGCACATGCGTAGACTACACTTAAAGATTCATAATTCTATGTATCGGTTTTTATTTTGATGAACCTTGCCGTGGTTACTAAAAATAAAAATTTTATGTGAAATATACTTTCAAATGCTACTCATTATACCTTCATCATCTGCAATATACCTTCATCGCCTGCTTACGGGGTTTATATATCTAAGTTGATTCAATACGCAAGAGCATGCTCTACGTATGTCAATTTCTAAAACGAGGTAAATTATTCACAAACAAGTTGATGAAACAAGAATATCAGCAGTCTTGTTTAGACTCATCATTTCGTAAGTTCTTTGGTCGATACAATGACTTTGTCAGCAATTACAACTTATCATTGAGTCAAATGCTGACTGACGTTTTTCATACTAATTGTTAGGCCATTATTTACAAGTTAATTTCCGATCTGATAAGGAGCACACAGCGGATGTGACGTGTCACCAAGAGATGCTCACTCCTCCCTGGCACCTGATCCCACCTCTGATGTTTTAGAGGCCTTTTTTTCCTCTGATTCAATTTTGTATTGTTTAATGGCCTTTTAAGCTTGAATACTGTTTGTTATCTTCGTATATTTATGTAATAGAATTTAATAGATACATGTCTGTAAATCCTGTGTGTGTATGTTTGTATGTGTGATTATTTAAAAGGTTTATAAGTCCATGGCCATATACCTAATGTATATCTACCTATAGATGCTGTATACAAATGCTCAACATGGATTAATAGTGAAAAGGTAACAGACTCCAGATATCAACAAAGAGCTTATAATCTGGTGTCATACAAGGATTATCTTAACAAGGTAAAAGTTTACGGTGTCAATGTATACATTTATATGATATGGCGCTTGTTTAATTGACCAACATTTATTTCCTACTTACATGTACATGTATTAGATAACCTAGATTTTTAATATAATGAGGTTAGTGACCCATTAACATCAGATCGTACGATTATTATTTTTTTTTTACACTTTATAAAATTACATGTACGTATAACTACGAATAATTTCAAAACTAGGCTTTTGATAACAAAACAATTGCCTTTTCAATAAAAATAGAACTTGAAAATTTTTGTATATTGTGTTTGGTCATCAATAAAATTACTTTTTTAAGTCACTTTGATTCTACACAAAAGTACTGTGAAGTTGATATATTAAGGAATACTATACTGTTACAAGATGACTTATCATCGTCTCAAGCCACTGTCTGGAGTCCGCTCTCTCCTACCCGTGTCCAGAATGGGAGAGGGTAGTACATTTTTTGGCCACGGTTTGCGACGATAATGACTTATTGCTATTCAAGGGCCTGTAGAGGCATACAACAATGAAACACGTAAAATGATTTTGTATAGTACAGAGTTTTGTGTACAGGTATAAAGTACAGACAACAACTTGTTACAGACGGTATACATGTACTAATGGACGGAAACATAAACGGAAATCCGTTATATTGAAATGGATTTAAAAAAAAGAATAATCTTATATATACTCATATAATATTAACAGTTGTACTAATTCCACCTCGTACCTAATGCGATTGTCTCATAAACAATATACTAAGTATGTTAAAATACATCAAAATTATAAATTATGAATAATATAAAGCACAGTTACAGTACTGATTTGGGAGGAAAAATTTCATAATGTATTTTATAATTCCTCTGAAGCAGAATTTATTCAAAAACTTACATATGAAGGAAAGTTTATAGTGAATTAATGTAAATAAAAGTTTTTGAAGGATAATTAAATCACTGATTTACTGTTTTAAAAGTGTATGAGTGAGTAAATGTGTTATTGAGAATTTGAGTTACTGTTCATTGAGTAGGTGAATGAGTTCAGGAAAAGTGAAACAGTGACTAATCGTATCTATGTATATTAACGTATCACAAATTGACACATGCATTAAATTTCAATGTTATAGCCCTCATCAGATTTGACAAAACTTCATTCTGCATGGCGAAAAGAAGCTACTTTATTCCAAAGAGTCCCAGAGCAGAAAAGTAAGGACATATATATTATGTGATAAAAAAATTATTCATAAGTATAAACAATTAATACTTCTATTTTTTCAAACAACGAGGTATAAAATACCTAGCCAGGATATGAAATGCAGAGTTCATAAACGTATTCTTCTATCTTGCTATCTAATTTAAGCTTTATCATTTCGATTGATCGGTTTCATAAGCAGCTTTGTAATTGTCCTCGACCTCATGTTAATAAAATTGAGTTTCTTTGTCTAAAGGTGACATTGATTTATCTTATTTATATCTTTGAATTTCTCTGTTTATTAACATATGTTACGCTGATAAAGAACTTTATTCGGTAATAAGCAATATTTGCCCCCAAATCAAACTTTGATGGAGATATATTTAATTAAATTCTTAAACAGGGGAGTATATGCTGACTTCAAAGCACTGAATATTTTCATAAGTAATGACGTCATATGTATGTAATGACGTCACAAACATGACGTAAATTTAAGTTTTTTATGAATTTTACAAAAAAATGTACATATTTAGTCGATATTTTGAGTAAAAGTCACCGAGCGCATGTGTGTTCAGGATCAATATTTTGATATAATGTGTAGAATGATAATATCAATGAAATGTGTCAATATTGTTCCTGAACAAACATGCGCTCTATAAATTTTAAAGCTAAAATTGTTGAAATTTTGTCCATTTTGTCCTCTTTCTGCAAAAGGATATAAAATTGGACTAGTTTGTGACGTCATAAAAACAAAAATTGTGAATGCACTGCTATGACACTATAATATTTTCTGTTAATTTATATTTCTCATACAATTTATTGAATTCAGCACATTTCAGAAAGTTTTCAAAATTTGACTTTTGTGGGGGCAAAAATATGCAATATACCGCATATAGTTCTTTATAAAAAAGAAAAAATAATGTATACATAACTCTGACATTTGATGCATTGTTTCAGGATATTTGACGATTGGTATCCCCACAGTTAGACGAGTGGGAGACGAGTACATAATGAAAACTATCAAATCCATAGTTAACTTCACGAGGACAAAAGAACTCAAGGAAATCTACATAGTGATTTTTCTTGCAGATTTTAATGAAACTTGGAGGGCAGACATTAGCGGAAGAATCAAGAAATCATATTCAAATCTAATAACGTCTGGAACTCTTATTGTAATTAGATCCTGGGAGTCCTTTTATCCTCCATTAGATAATCTAAAGCATACTTACAATGATAATGATGATAAAAGGAAATGGAGATCAAAACAAAATGTGGATTATGCTTTCATTTTCTTATATAGTCAAAACCTATCTACATATTACATTCAAATGGAGGACGACATATTTACAGTTCCTGGATACCTTCAAGTAATCAAAGATTATGTTTCGGAATTCAAAACGCCATGGACATGTTTAGAATTTTCCGAACTTGGGTTTATCGGTAAACTTTATCATTCTTACGATCTGGAAAAATTAGCCAAGATGGTGTTGTTATTTTATGAAGAACAACCGTGTGACTTTACCTTTTTATATTTCAACCTGCAGATGCTACAGTTTACTCGCTACATTCGTCGTCCCACCATATTTCAGCACGTTGGAATTCGGTCATCACTTCCTGGAAAAATTCAACCTTTAAAAGACAGATACTTTGACAATTTAGACAAGTCATATAAGGGAGATAACCCTCCCGCAAAAATCTACACAAACATGGATATCGAACCATCGTTCACTCCAGAAATGGCGTACAGCAGGGAACCGGGTTATTTTTGGAGTAAAGGCAACGGGAAAGCAGATGACTGGTTCATAGTCGTGTTTGATGAACCTCAGAGAGTGGATAGTATAATTATAGACACTGGATCACGTGAACACCCAGAGGACAAAATCGAACACGGTAAACTACAGGCCAGCCTTAGTTTAGTGAGTGTATCCTCGTCTCAACCTAAGTGTACAAATGATATACTTTTAGGATACTTTGAAAATGGGGATATTAAAGTGGGGAATTTGACATCAACTCTCGGTCCTTTTAAGATTCATTGTGTGAGTATCATTTTAACGGAAACACAGAGTTGGTGGATAATCATCAAAGAAATAGCAATCTTTGTGGCAATGTGATAGATGTTTTTTTTTCGTATATAATAAAATGATGAAACAAAATACATTTTGCACATTTACATTGCTTTATCGGTAACTCGTTTTATTCAACTACATGTAGTTGTTTGTTTACTTCTCTACCCCATTGCAAAGGCCCAGGGAAAGGAAACACATCATGTATTGAATAAAAACCATATTTGGGTAATAATTTTACAAAATGCCTCGTTGAAGTTAGATTTTGGATTAGTTATATTTTTAAAATTTGTATATCAGACTGAGGCAACAGTAAGAAAGTTAGGAGGAGCGTGCATGTGGATCATTTTTGTATCTGTGCACACCAAAGGAGGAGCGAATCTTTTATGTCTTTGTGCATGCTGAAGAACTAATAAGGAGGGGCGGATCTGTTGTATTTATGTATACAAAACAACTGAAAACGGGGAGCGGATCTATGTTGTCTCTGAGTATAGTTACCAAATAACTGATAAGGAGGTGCGGATCTATGTTGTATCTATATATACCAAAGAATAGATTACATGTAGGAGGAACGGATCTATGTTGTCTCTGTGTTTACCAAAAAGGCCGATCAATATTGTGTCTTCTTATACAATCCATGTTTTTCAATTCTTAACTATACCTCCTGCATACAGAAATAATATATTTCATACACAGGCGAGCTAGAAATAAATACATGTACAAATGAATTTATGGTAAAATAACGCCGTCATCATAGGAAATTAGAATTCATTATTTTCGATATTGACTAATAGTTACTAATATATATGATCCACGAAATTCTAATAAAGAAAATTCAAAATACTTTTAGCTCTCATATATCTAATTAGAAATTAATATATAAACTGATAATTATTTAGCGAGATGAATTATATTTCTTTATCAAAGAGTTAATTAACGTGAAACGGCATCTCATCAGACACTGACATGTAAAGAAGCTATTTCTGGAAGACGGTCTTATGCAAGTTTACATTATTTAGACGACGTATTAGTTTGTAGACATTTTTAGTTTCACAACATATTGGTGACGTATCACGATATTTCAAGAAGCTTTATGCGTAAAATACCAGGATCGTGGGAGAGAGAGAGACGTACATTTAGAAGAAAAACTATAAAATTGACAAAATTGACAAATAAGCTATCCATAGTTCCGTGAGACAGGAATTCTAATAAGTACGAGTATGGTACACAATCGTGCTTTTGACTGAGCTAGTGCGTTGTAACAATTTTACTGCACCTATCAAGCTATATCACACTTTCCAAAGCCAGATATATATAGAAATACATGTACAAGTATGGTATACTGACATACCTAACAATTAAGCAATGCTACATGTACTCGTTCCTAAAGTAGACAGTAATACTGACAAGTATGGTATACATATGTAAATGACATAGTCCGACCATTGTCTTTACATGCTGTCATACGTTCCTAAAGCTGAACATGCCTCGTTAGTAAGCCAACGCCATATAAGATGATACTATCAACGATATCAGTACCGAGATATCCCTTCCCATTCGTTACACCTGATAACTGTATTGTTACGGGCATCAGCGTGGAATTGCAACACGTGTTTGTGCTGGTTATTTGCAGTTACGTGTTTTTGGGTTTGTCTGTATACCCCACTGGCCTGTGCAACTGATGTAAAATTCTTCGGAATCTTACTCTTCTGTCGTAGAAACACACTGTTATTATTAATTTTAGTTAAGTGTGAGGTTTTGCATTACGTCACGAACTTTTTCGACAGATGCATCCAGCGTAAACAATTCACGTGATTGGTCAAGTCATATTTTCAACACTGACACGAAAAGAGTCTGTTGTACGATCAACCAACCAGGGATTAGAAGAAAGTTCCAGTCGTAACGCTTGCGATTAGGAGGCGTGTATTATTTACCTTGAGCGCAGCTATTATTATAGAATGTGACGTAATGCAAAACTACACACTTAACTGAAATTCACAATATTTTTGTCACAACCGAGTGCTGTGTAGCATGCGTTCCAAAACCAATAATATTTCGGGTATAATAAAATTGATTTAACCGTAATAGAGATCAGGGGGCCTGCCCACAAACACTATTATAATAGTGATATAATACATGTAGTGTAACTACTCTTTAAAAAATAATAAAATAAGGATGTGGATCTTTTTCAAATTATTTTATTCATTTTTCTAGTGCGTATCTGATTAAATCAGACATAATATGCATCAGAGGTAACTATCTAACTAGACGTCCACGTTTGGCACACTATCACAAGTAAACAGGGAGGAAGATCCGCCTATAATACAGTGGCGGATCAATAACAAAGTGGGACATACAATCATTCATCGACTATCAAACATTTCATCAACACATAACAATAAATAGAGATCGAGGATAACAACTGTATTACTACATCAACAAAACGGTCAATATTTATCAATGTCTCCCCAATAACTTCACCTCCAAGAAAACATTTATAATCACTGTCTATCATAATTTATATTCATCATACATTGTAATTTCACTTCCAAGAAAACATTTTTTTTCACTGTCTATCATAATTAATATTCACCATGCACTGCAACTTCACATCCAAGAAAACGACATATTTTATCACTATCATAATTAACATTCATGAAAATAACATGTAAATCTGTAATTATAGTTCATATACTAGTATTCAAGATTTTTTGCTCCTAATTTTACAAAGCATATTTCTGCGTATGCATGCACGTGCATTTGAAATACTAGTGTCAGAGCTCTGTGAAAAAACTTCTTATTCAAAGGCATTGAATGATAGATTACAATTGTACAGAGCATTGCATTTAAAATTGAGATCTTAACAAAAATACTATAGTATTTATAATTTTGGCCAAAAAAAAAATCATTTTAATATTCTGGAAAATAACACCAAAGACAATATGACTATCACTTTTACATTTGTTTTTCGGACTACCATAATGTATCTGTACTGTTTATAATAATAATAATTCAAAATAAACTCATAAATATTGATAAAATTAATGTTTACATCGTACGTTACATATAAACAAGGTACATATTCCTCCGTGTTTTTCAACAATTCTTTTCCTTTTGATTAAGTTAAATACAACATATAATCGTTACATCCTAGGGTTACTTTACAAATGTGTTTAACAGAAAATAAATATATGATGCAACAACGCGTTTTATCCTTTGTGAACATATGTTGAATTACTTCAAGGATATATCACTTATACTACGAACATATTCATGTGATAATAGCAGAATAAGAAATAAATCAATATAACCTTAATAATGTTATTTTAAAAAATTGCATTTTTTTCCACAAGAAATCAAATATCTTTATCTTATTAAAAATAAGCAATGTCAATTTCAAAAGTAAATGGAAAAATTACACGAAATGAAAATGTTGTAAGTAATTTATGACATGTTTATGCTGCGTTCAAAAATTACATGTAATTATTATTTGAAAACTTCCCTTGTCCATAATGATTTCTCTTCTCTCTGATTCAATTTTTACCATCAAATTTGTTTCACCTTAAGAAAAATAAACAGGTCTTTGACACGTTAACTTATCCTTCAACATGTTAATTAATTCAAAGGAATGTAACTTAGCATTTTTCGTACAATACAATATGGCAAGAAAAATATTTTGCTTTTTATTGTTGTGAACATATCCTTTAAATTATGTTTAGAATATCAAGTCACATTCGAAATACTAGGTAACAGAAACATGTATTCAATCACACATGTACAACGTAATTCTGTTAATTGTGACTACTACATACACGTTCTGGTACAAGTTTCTTTTCTTCCCCCCTTCCTATCCTTTGTGTTTTATAAATACTGAAGAAAAAGTCATCAAATTATCAATTTGTCTTTTCTTATATACATTTCCAAATGAATGAAAATTCTGGGTACGCATAAATTATTTCCTAATCAAGAAAAAATATGTCCATTTAAAAAACGGGCAAGTTTGATTCTTTGTACATATTGTATTTTTAGTTAATGGTTTTACGCACTTTGAAGAAGTCTCTGTTTAAAAAAACATTTTGCAATATGATTGAGTACTTGTCTAGTAAATCTTATATTATATCTTTCTTTTTTTAAGTGACGTTTCTCTTGAACTACCAGGTATATAAATCATTCCCTCGGACAGTAGTCGGCTACGTTGAAATTTCCGAATACATTCAGTTCATAAAGACAGGAGAAGACTATCACAACAACGTAAACCAACAAACAGACGACACCGAACTTTTTGTTTAGCCGCCATTTTGTAACAAACATGGCGATGATTAAGAATACAACTGTGGATAGCAAAGTGATGGCGGAATATGTCAGTCCTTCGCTTTTTATCGGGATGGGGTCTCCACTTTCTAGGATGAGGGATTTTAACAACCAGGGGAGACCCAAACACATCAAAATGTCAAATACATTGCTCCCTATAGAGTTAGAGACCGCCATATCTCCTAAACCTGAAATAAAGAAAAAATATCGCTGTGTAGTGACTGAGTAAAATAAACATACTTATTGCATCTACATACTTCTTTAGAGATTAGATGAAATCTACACCGATTACTCTAAGGGAACAATTCACCTTTAACGGATGTTTAAATATATTAGTCAGCGACCTATGTTCGTACATGTATGTTGTATACTTTGCATTAGATTCATTAGTCTGCACTATCAATGACAATGTTGCTATAATGTACTCACCGTCTCTTGCTACAAAGAGACTTGAAAGACAGTCTGGTACACTGGTACCTGCTGCTAACAGAGTGAGTCCCATTACTGTCTCCGGAATTTCTAGGGCATCACCTACCAAAATAAAAACAGCGTTATAAGAAACTCAACATCTCTTGATATTAAACCACCACCTATATTATTTAAAATGAATATCGACTTAAAAGAGAAATTAAATATTTATATATAACATTTTAAGACGGCGTCAATACGTTCTATTTCCACTATGGAAGATCTAGAGTTATGCTTCTTAGTGCGCTCCTTTGTGGAAAAGTCGGAAAATGTACAAATCTGTGATTTCTGGAACAAGCGTAACTGTATTATTAAACATCTAAGTAAGGACTTTGACGGACACCTTGCACTGAGCAACTCAATAAAATGGACAGAATGCAGAAATTGTTTCAGTTACTGTTATCCAAATCGCATGACAAATGATCATATGATGTACCCTTAAAACAACATTACGCTTAAAAATGATAAATGGTTATCTTTTCATTAAATGTGGAAAACAAAAATGTGTTCCCTGGACATCTCTGATATACATAACATTGTTTTGCAAATAAAACAATAATCCAGAAAATTTAAGGAGATGTAATCCGGCAAAAGAGTAAAATTATGCTCGAACCATCTACATTAGCCATTTTTGCGCCAGATTTTTAAATAACCGAGATTTACGGTAAAAAATTGATATTGTGTTTACAATTTTTAATTCTTAATTTAGTTTTAATAAACACTATAGGAAACTGCATATGATGTGAAAATTTTAAAACCATACAAGTAACAGCTTTTTAAAAAGCTTGCCTGACTAGATCAATAAATATCGTACATTTATTGATCTGCACCACGTGAAAATTAATGCATGTAGTTATTATAAAGTCAGATAATTATAATATAATCAACTTATTTTTAGAATTCAAACGAAAACAATACTGATAATAGATCTCTCTGGAAGGCATAATATTGACAGAAATTTAAGAATATGTAACATTTGTGATTGTAAAACTATTAGTGATGAATTTCATTATGTTATGGAATGCAAGACTTAGTATACCTTTCGCATGACAAAATATTTCTCCAAAATAGATATTGTAAAATTCCTAACATTTTCAAATTTAATGAACTAATGAACATAATAATGTAAAAAAAAAAATTCTTGGTCAAAATTTATCAAAAAATTTTCAAAACTGTCTGCCCTTTCTTGAATCCTGAATGTGTTTTATATACACATGTACAAGTAACTGACTATACGTTTTCTCATTCTTTTTTTTCTTTATACTTGTCTATTTTTTATCCTTACTGTAATTTTTGTTTGTATATATGTAACTCTTGTACCAGTCATCTGGTTTTGAGTGAATAAAGAATTGAAAGGACTGCATTCAAATAATTGATTGAAATTTTAATGCAATCTACGATTTGAAAAAAAAATTAATGACCTTGACCTTTAAATGACATTTTGCCAAAGGTCATTTCGCAACGGCATAACAAGAGAAACTGCTTGTGTTCTGCTATTGATTTTGCTGCTGGAAAAAGTTTTTTAAGCGCGATTACTGTATTTCCCTTAAATGGAGATATGACCAAGCATTGAATTCTCAAACTTTAATGTAACAAATTACTGGTCGTCCAAGATAACATATTCGTGGGGAAATTTTAAAGGTTACATTGAAGGCGAGTTATCGTTCTTTCCTTTATTGTAAAGAAGGACAGACTGGTTTTAACTATATTATATAATATACAATAATTATACTTTACCTTTTAAAGAGTATTAAAATTTTAACTGTACAGTCATGTAACAAGACAAAATCTCACTTGATTTAAAATTGATGAAGTTATTGTCATCCTATTGTTACATGTATAAAACGCTTAAAATCATTAACTATAATTTTCGTAATTAATAATTAGCTTTTTATTATATCTGGGTCCGCCAGAAGTTCAATCAATAATTTGTAACTACTTGAATGCGTTCTGCATTGACTGGGTTTAAAAAATCAATTCCAAGATTAGTGGAAAAGTGTAATGAAAAGAAGCAATATGGCTTCGTACATTTATTGATTTGCACCCCGGAAAAATTTAAAGCATGTAGTTACTATAAAGTCAGATAATTATAATATAATCAACTTTTTTTTAGAATTCAAACGAAAACAATACTGATAATAGATTTTCTGGAAGGCATTATATTGACAGAAATTTAAAAAAATGTAACATTTGTGATTGAACACTATTAGTGATGAATTTCATTATGTTATGGAATGCAAGACTTAGTAACTTTCCCATGACAAAATATTTCTCCAAAATAGATATTGTAAAATTCCTAACATTTTCAAATTTAATGAACTAATGAACAGTAATTAATGTAGAAATACAAAAATTCTTGTCAAAATTTATCAAGAAAATTTTCAAAATTGTCTGTCCTTCTTGAATCCTCCATGTGTTTTATATATGCATGTATATGTAACTGACTATATGTTTATCTCATTCTTTTTTTTTCTTTATACTTGTCTACTTCTTGACCCTTGACTGTAATTTTTGTTTGTATATATGTACCTCTTGTACCAGTGATCTGGTTTTGAGTGAATAGTCCCCTAAAAAATTGAAATACTGGTTCAAATAATTGATTGAAATCTTAATGCAATCCACGATTTGAAAAAAAAAAAATTTAAAGACCTTGACCTTCTAAATGACATTTTGCCAAAGGTCATTTCGCAACGGGATAACAAGAGAAACTGCTTTATAAAGAAGGTTGTGTTCTGCGTGGATTGATTT